TTTATCATTATATATATATATAGATCTTTAGGCCTTTGATATTGACCACATAATTAATCAAGATTTTGAAAAGTTAATATGTAGGTATATCAACGCATCACCTAATTCATTTTTGTTGTTGTTTAATTTCCTTGTGTATCTTTGAAAGTATAATAGGTAAAGAAAAGAATAAGGAATATATCTTTGAAAGTGTTGCCTTTCAAAAAAATTTATCATGAAAAGTGAAAAGAAGAAAACAGAAACCCAGTGGAAATTTATGGATTTTGGAGCATTGTTAGGGTTTAAAATATCATCATTAGGGTTTTTGTTGTTCAGTTTAATTATTTTGTTCACAGGATGTAATATATGAATTCGGTTAAAACATTTGGACGGCTAAAGATGAAAAATATGTATAGAAAATATATAGTATCTAAAAAGCAAGGGATTGCATTTGTCTTTTAAGAGATATGAACCCCAACTTCCAAGTGATGCTTTTAATTTTCATCTATTTCCAAGGCAGAATCGAATTCTCGCCACCCTAAACCATGTTCTTCTTTCTTGGTTAATGTTGCAGGAAAGTCATTGTTACCCAGCAAAGATCTTGAATGGTATTTCTTCAGTCCTCGAGACCGCAAGTACCCTAATGGGTCCAGGACCAATCGCGCAACGAAAGCTGGATATTGGAAAGCCACCGGAAAGGACAGAAAAGTGAACTCTCAGATGCGCGCCGTGGGAATGAAGAAAACCCTAGTTTTTTACCGAGGGAGAGCACCCCACGGTTCTAGAACCGGCTGGGTCATGCACGAATATCGGCTTGATGAGAGAGAATGCGACTCTCCTTCTTCAGGCCTTCAGGTGTGATGAATTCATTCAAACCCACAATGGTTTATTACTTTAAAAACAGAAAAACAAAATAAAATACATATATTTATATATGGAAAATGATATGTGCACACCCGGATTCAACACCCGGGTGTGCACACTCCGTATAAAAAAAAAATAGAGAACACTTGATCCATTTTTTTTTTTATATAGAGTGTGCATACCCGGATATTTAATCCGAGTGTGCACCAATCATGATCCATATATATATATATTACTGAGGCCATGATGCCTTATTTATTATCTCAAAATTTAAACTTAAGATCTTGATACATATGCTTAATGTTTGATATTTTGTTAATTTGCAGGATGCATATGCGCTTTGTCGCGTGTTCAAGAAAGCTGCGACGCCTGCTCCAAAGATGGTGGTGGAGATGGATTATGCTACTAGAGCTGCCAAACAGATAAGCAGTCAACATGCTTCTAGCATGGAGTTATATTCTGATCAGGGAAGATGTGAAGAGAGCTCGGATTATTCCATGCCATTTGAAGCTTGCTCACCTGAAATTGGTCATGGATCATCCCATGATGTCTGTGAAGATGCCTTTAGTTTTGTCACTCCGTCAAATTTTTCGAATTTTGGAGGCTTTCCATACCAACCTTCCAAGGTATGTATATTAATGTTTTCCAATCTTAATTAAGTTTATTGGATCTAAAATTAATATAAGGGTATATTTAATATAAATACTAAATAGTATACTTTTTAATTTAACACATTAATTAAAAAATTATTATTTTTTATTTGATATTAAAAATAAACAAATTTAGAAATACAATCATGGTATATAGAAATTGATTAAATCAATTCTATGTATATTATATTTTAATAATTGAATGAGATAAGTATTGAAAAATATTTTAAATCAAAGAGCTTATCATTTATTTTCCATTTAATATAACTGTTCAAACTTAACTAACAGTTACAAAGGGGTCACTGGCAGGTTGATATTGCGTTAGAATGTGCAAGGTTGCAGCAACGGCTATCATTGCCTCCTCCATTGGAGGTTGAAGACTTCCATCAAGCTGGATTAGTTCATGACTACAAAGTGCTACGTGCAACTTCAAGCCAAAACGAAAATATTGATGTTTTGCAGGAAATTCTTTCTGTAGCTAATACTTCTCAGCAGCTGACAAATCAACCCATCCATCAAAGCATGCATGGTAATTGGGGCACGGATACAAACGCTCATGATTTCTCCTTCATGACTACCAAAGAGACATATCAAACTCAATTCGAGGAGATGAACACAAGGGCCATACCTATTTGTGATCTAGATGAAGATTTCAAGACAGAAAGGATGGTTGAGAATTTGGGGTGGATCATACACAGAGATTTAGACCAGGTACATGCCTATGTTTACAATATAATTAGTTCACTTCTCATCAATTTCTAACTTCTTTATAATTTTAGATCAATTTGGGATTAAATTCTTGTTTATATTTGTCTTATGTTGCAGAGTTGTATGGAAGAACATAAGACTGTTCCAATGGAAACTATTTCTAGTTTTGGAATAAAGGAAGAAGAGAATGAATTTGGAGGTATATGAATTTGAAGAGAATGTCAATTAAACACCTTGTTTTCTTTTTGATCACCTCTTCCTTTGGGGATTGACAATTTTGTTTAACTTGCAGAATTCAATGACAGTGACATAAATGATTTTGCACTTGGATTCATTGATGATAATCCAAATGAAAAATATTTGGATGAGGGCCGAGTAGATGATACCACAAGCTCACCAAGCTTTGAGGTTGTTGAGGAGATCAAAGTTAGTCATGGAATGATGAATATTTCAACTCGCCAAGTAGCGGAGACCTTCTTTCACCAAATAGTGCCTTCTCAGACAGTTAAAGTCCATCTAAACCACAACGTTGATCACAGAGGAGAGACTGATGGAAGTTGTTTTCTTGGCAAGTTCAAGGCATTCACTAGGCTAGCGGCTGCAGCTCTTTGTGGAATTTTACTTCTCTTGATGCACTGGTTATATCTTGAAGAGGAGAATCTGACGAATGAGAAATCAAGCGCGGAAGACAATGGAAAAGTAGAAAGAAAAATGGTGTGGAACAAGAAGAAAGGAAAGGTTTTTATGGTTAATAATGCAAATGGGAAGCTTTTGAAGAAGTTGGGATTTTTCCTCACTATCTCTTTAGCACTCTGTGTACAATGTTGGGGAGTGGATCTAAACTAACCCCATCTTGGTTTGATGATTTACGTACTTCTGTTCTAACTCTTTCTGCTGAAAGGAAGGCATAGCCTTAATATTGTAGCTAGTATAAGAAATAATTGCAATTGACTTGACTTTTTCTTTTTATCTTTTTAGTTTCTTTTACTAATCAAATTTATGAGTTTAATGTCATCATTTTAACAGTAAGGACTAATCAAATTTATGAGTTTAATGTCATCATTTTAACAGTAAGGAGATGCTTAATTTTGTTGATTGTAATATTTTCAAATGATCACAAATTTGTACTTGAGTCGAAGGTACAATGACATCAAGTCATGTTTAAAATACATTCTCATTTTTAGGCAACAGTTTGAATCCAATTCTTTGTAAATTTGTTAAAAAAAAATGACCACAAATTTAATAATTAGTAAATACGTACTAATATACGAACTCTTGTTTAATTTAAAGGAAATAGAAAGAAGTTTAATATTTTCAAATGAGATATTATCCTTTCATTTCCTTCCTTCTCAAACCAAACAAGTTTAATATTCAAACAACATTATATGAGTTTCAACAAAAAAATTAATAAGCCATTATGAGAAGATTCATAGTGATTAAAACGAAAGCACTTGGTTTATTGGCCTTGTGAAAGTGAACCCTCTTCCCCCTCCCCTAGCCTTACATTGTATCTCAAGAGTTAAAATGATGGTACCTTAGAAACAGAAAGCACTGCGTCTCTTGCGGGGAAATCAAATTACAAAGGTGTTATTAAGCATGAGATGCAGAAATTACTTAGCTGTCTTTTATCTATAATAAGGAAAGTTCCATTGTAGATCAATAAGTATTTTGTAACCTAACAGAACTCCCCTCCCTTTCAAAAGTTGTATATGTTCAAAAATGGAAAAAATTGCGATCAAATCAAAAAGAGGCGGGTATCAAAAATGAGAAACAAAAGAGAGGAATGTTAGGAAAAAAAGATAAAGAGAAAGGTGTGTTTCATGATGTTATTGTCACATTTTTAATTATTAATATTATATTTTTTTTATTTTAATTGATTATTATATTATTTAATTTATTAAGACAATTTTTTTTTAAAAAAAAAGTGTAATATAAGAATATAATAAATAATTACACAAAAAAAATGTGATACTAACCATTTAAAATATGATAATAATCTCATCCTATTTTTCTATACGAATTATATATTTTTTTTATAGAATTTAGTTATTGAAATTACAAAAACATCATTAATGAATAAATTTATAAGATAGCTTCATTAATAATATTTAGATAATTTCAATAATCAGATTGTAAACAAAAATATAATCCGCACTAAAACACATTTTTTCAAAAAAAATAATAATATAGCATGCATTTCTAACATTTTGGGCTCTATAATGTGTTTGGGTCAAGTAGGATCAGACTCTAGCATTTAAGATTTGTGACAATCAATTGGGACCAAAGCAATTGTCAAATGTGAGGTTATGTTGGGCTGTATCCATATGGGGCCAAAAGGGCCGAACATTGTCAATAATGACTACAATACAAGTCAAAAGCAGAAGTAAATTGCGCGCTGGGAATTTCACATCACATCGGGCCAACAATAAAATGGGCTACGACCTAGAGAGGGAAACAAGTCGAGCCCGAAACAAAAACAATTAAATGGACTTGGAAACTATGCTTGATTTATAGGGCCTCTTCTAGGCTTCATACGTAACGTTTTTATTTTGAGTTTATATTAAGAAAAGGGTATATTAATTTTAATTTTTAAAATAAATTAAAGTTTTAACTTTAAAATATATTATTTTATTTAATTAAAATT